GCCAGGGAAAATAGAACATAGGCTGGATATTGCAAAATCATGAATTTTGGTAAATATAATAACATTGTGGATTTGTTTAGGCATAATAACATTTGTGGTAGTATTACCAAATACTTATTGGTTAGAGGTACATTTTGATGAATTTATGAGTAAAATCATATTTCTCAGAATTATCTTTAAAAAGCAAGGGAATAATAGGTAAATAAGAATTGCAGAGTGTTGATAGTTGTTGAAGTTGGTGGTGAGGACATGGGATTCATAGTTCCATTTCCTATAGATTTTATATTTAAAAATGTTTACAACAAAAGACTTTTTAAAAGTGAGGAATGGCTATATACTTCCCAATGATCACAAGTTGAATATTTGCTTAATAAAATTGTTATTTTGCTCTCAAACTGGTTTCTATTACTTGGAGTTATTACCATAATTAATTTATCATACGTAATTAAATTAAATATGATAAATTATAAAATATGGCTGTGAAAAAACCCAGAATTTCTTCTATGAAAACTAAGTTAGATGCTTTAGAAAGAGTTTATTTTTGAAAAAAAAGCGACAGAACAAGGTTTGGATAAGGCAAATATGAAAGGCTTAAATAAAATCATAAAGATCTGGAAGGATTTTGTATTCAAATTTTCTTCACATTTAATCTCCTGGATCACTTTAAGTAAACCAAATCTGGAAATTTTAGATGAGATAGAGTGGATCAGACTCAGGCAAGAAAGATAATGAAGTACTCAAATTCTCCTCAAACAAGTGGTGATCAAAAAAATGTGAATTTGAGTGAAGAACTTACGGAAATATGGTGCATGTATGTGGTCTCGTGGTAGTAAAATGGACAGTTAGCTTATGGCAGGTGGCAATTTCCCTAAGACTTAGGGAAATGAAGAGATGCCACAATGAGTGGTATGGATAGAGGGGCGAGGTCATTTGTCCTCCAACTAGGGACACTTTTGAGAGTAAATGAGGTACTATTCATAACTATGCTGGGATAACAACCTAAACTGGGAGGATTCTTAACCAAACCAAGGTGTTTGGTCACCCCAGCAATAGGAAACAAGATCAGAATCCCCAGCCATTTAAATTCACTGGGTCAGCAGCTGCATCTAACTAGAATGAAGTGTAGCCGAGCTGAATGACACTGAAACATGGAGCCCAGGAAGCAGACAGCTGGCATCAGCACAGGCACTGGAAACTTCTGGTCAGGAGGTGGTCTGGGTCAGGTTGGGGGATGAGAAGGTGCACCTGGGGGAGGTTGCTCTCCTGCCTTGGTAAGGTGAGAGGACCAGGATTGGCCTTGCTGTGTCCTAAGCACTAGGAAGTTCACAAGGACACAAGGAGTCTGGGGACTTTAGTCCAAGAGATTTTGTTTTCTGTGTCCTGTCCCCTATGCCCTTGTTGACATAGAGTCATTCCTGTCTGCTCTTGTATAGCCAAGAAGTAAGACTGGTATTTGAGGTTTTCATTCTATCTCAGACAGGTAGGCTCCTTCCTCCATGCTCAGGTCTCTGCAGAGCGGTAGTTTTCAATGGCTATGCATCAGAGTCACTGCTTGGATGGTGATGGAGTCTGAGTTCATTGGTGTAGGAAGAAACTAGGCATTGATGTTCTCTCAGCTGGGATTGGGCACTGCTGTTGCAGAGACACCTTATCATCTTTTAGACTTGGCTTTCAGACTGAAACAACGTGCCTTTGGTTGCAAGGAGAGAAAGTAAAGCTAAATAGTAAAGAAAGCACTTTTAAATTCACTTCTGTCCATAAACAATCAGAGGAACTAATGAGTAATTGGGCAAGCGGGGGAAAGGAGGAAAGTCTTCTCTTGTGATGAGACTTGGTCATAGGGCACAAATAATGTCACCAGCATGCTACCAAAGGCTCACTCTGCAGCCACACCAGGATCCAAAAGCTCTTCTAAAGGAACATGTTTTATAATGACAAGGTACTGAATGGTCTAGCAGAGACCCCAGGAGTAGGATTCAGAAGAGTGGGCTCTTCTGCAATGGCCAAGGAGTTCACCTGTCTGTTTCTGGGTGAACCTGGGCTGGCACTCACTGGCATGCCTTGCAGAAGGGGCCAATTATGGGAGTGACACCCAAGTCTTGACTTCTAAACTTGAAATCTTGGAAGTAAGCAGCATAATTGAATATTAAGAACAATCAGTAAATGTGTAGCCACATTGACTGCTAGCTTTTTTTTTTTTTTTTTGGTACCAGGGATCAAACTCAGGACCCTGCACTTACGAGGCAGGTGGCAGCACCACTGAGCTAAATCCCTGGCCCTTGTCTGCTAGCTTTGACGACAGGGAGTTCTGCAGCTAAAGTGGTGATTTTTAGGCTAGTGATTTATTATTATTATTATTTTTTATTTGTAAATGTTATCCTAGGGGGATAGTGCTAAAGGAGATTCAAGAAATTCACAACAGGTCACAGGATAGCGATTGTATTAACACAAAATTAAGAGTAGTGTGTTCCTTATACTTATAGTTAAGACATCAAAGTTGATTCCCTTCCAAGCCCTCTAATGAACATAAGCTTCTGGTTCAGGCTGCTTTGAGCTGCTGGCCAAAGTCTATTTACTTCCTGGAGACACTTAAAATTCAGTCTCTTAGATCAAGCCACAAGGTGACTTAAATGAAAAAGAATGTATGATTCAGTGTAAGACCAAGACCCTCAAATTTAGCCCAACAGTGATGACAATTGCCATCTAGAGATGTGGAGCTGTCCCTTTGATGTGGCAATGGGTTTGGGGATGCATTACTCTTGAATAATATCCCTCTTCCCTTTAGGTCAGTCTGGATTGTGTGACCTCCATTCTTTGCTTTTCTCTCTTTGTCTCTCTTGCTTCTCAAGAGCATTCTTTAAAATGACATGTCACAGAAGGATTGGGTTAGGTACTGAGGACCACAGAAATCTAGAGGAGGGAGGTGGATTTCCTAGAGGAGGGACTGTCTCAACAAGTGTCATTGAGAACATTCATTTCATCATAAGGTGGAGAAGCATCGAGAGAAAGCAAAGGGAGGATAGGAGCCTACAGACCTGCCTCCAGCAGGAATCTGGCTGCAGGAAAGACACCTGTCAGCCAGGCCTTTAGCACTCTCAAAGACTTTCAACCAGTCCACATTCACCCTGAACTCTTGGTGAACCTGCTGTCACCAACTCTGGAGCATCTGTGTTTTCAGAGGATCAAAATGTACTCTTCTCAGCTGCTTCATCTACACCTGACACCCCCCCACCCCCCGTTCTCTTTGCCCCTGAGGTTTTTACTTTTTTCCTCTCTTTGCTTTCATTTTAGTTGGCTCTTTGTAGGGGGGTGGATAAGTAGATGAGAATAATATTCTACTTTTAACAGAAGAGATTCAGGTGTATACTGTGGTACTTCAATGTTTCTTTCTGAAATCTTTCTTTAAGAATAGAAAAAGAAAATAATACTCTAGCTTAAAAATGTTTCCCTAACAGTAAGAAATGCCCACATATCAGACAGATCTTGAACACACCTAGAGATGCCATCCTTTAATTCCCAACATGCCAGTCTGTAATTTAATCCTATTCATATTTTATACTATCTCATTTCCAAAATGCCCACATAAAATAAAAGAATTCTACATTTGATCAAAATAGCCCATGTTAACAAATATTGTCTCTCATTAGCTAAATTCCTCAGAGAGCATTTTATTCGGTGGCATTTCAGTTCTGTCCTTTTCCCTGGGAGTTCTGCATGGAAACGCCACTCTCCATCCCCAGGGACCTGGACTTCTGTGATTTCTGTTGCTCTGGGCCCTTTGTGTGCTGTAGGGAAGAGGATGACAAACTGAGACCAGGAAGAACAAGTCAGCAAGAACTGGACCTTGATTAGGCACTGGACAGGTTTAGTTAACTTTATTCTATCATCTTTATACTTTTCAAACAGCCATTCTAAAATTTCTTCAATTTATTCTGTGAATTGAGCCTAGATTTGCTGTTTTCAAAATTGATGAGCGTGATAGAGCATTTTCAACATACCTTATCCTCTTCATCCTTCTGTGAGCCGTTCCTCACCTCTATAAGAAACCATTCTAACTTCTATGAGTATTTATTAGCAGGGAACAAGACCAGAGAAAAATGAATTAAAAGATGAATTATTTCTGTCTAATGTCTGATGACAAATCTGTGACCAAGAGCCACAGTGGATCTTGTTGTCCTTTCATTCCCCCTCCTTGAGATAAGCAGAAATCTGTTGGCCTGAAGCAATTAGGGATTTGAAGAATCTACCTCACTGCCACAGATCAAGTAAATGACCTTATCTTTAAATTTCTTTAATTGACAAATAATAGTTGCACATATTTATGGGGTACAGTGAAATAATTCAGTATATGTATACCTTGTGTAATGATCAGTGAGGGCATTAGCATTCCCATCTCCAGAAAAATGTATCATTTCTTTATGTTGGGTATCTTTAAACTCCTCCCTTTTAGTTCTTTATAAAACATGCAATAAGTTGTTGTTAACTCTAGTGATCCTACTGGGCTGTGGAACATTGGAACTTACTCCTCCTATCTATTTGGTACTCATCATCTGCCCTCCTTCTGTCTCTCCTCCCCCTTCCTCTTCCTCTAGTGATCACTGTTCTACTCTCTACTTCTATGAAGTCAACTTTTTAAGGATTCACAGGTGAATGAAAATATATGGTGTTTGTCTTTCTTTATCTGGCTTATGTCACCTAACATAATGTCTCCCAGTTCCCTCCATGTTGCAGCAAATGACAGGATTCCATTCTTTTTTTATGGCTAAATGATATTCCATTGTGTGTATGTACAGCATAGTTTATTTATTCATCCATGGATAGACACTGGTTAATTCCACATCTTGGCTCTCATTTTGCCTTTGAAATCTCACAAATTCATGACTTAATATGCATTTAGTTTTAGCAACATTTAATCTTTTTTTGGCATCTCTGGCTTATGTGGTTGAGAACACTGAGAAATAGACTTAAGCAAATCTCTCTCTCATCTTCACTTCTAGCAGAAAGCAACCCTAAAGAAATACTCACAGTTCAGTGCTGATGTGGCTGAGGCCATTGCCTTCTTTGACTCCATCATTTCTGAGCTGGATACAGAGAGACGGCCAAGGGCTGCCGAAGTTGACCCACCCAATGAAGATGTGGACTTTGATGGTGAGTGCTGAGGTGACCACTGGGCCTGATGTGGAGACTTCTCGGGATCTACTTCCTGATGGGAGCCCCTCACCTGCACCCAGGCCCTGGCCCCCATGCTTGTCCTTTTTGGGGACCTCTCACTTCAGTTGTCCCTGCTGCCACTGCTCCAGTCTACTCTCCAATGTTTGGGGTTCTTGTTTGAACGAAAACTCTTCCCTGTGGTCCTTTTATGAGAGCTGAGACAGGGTGGAACTGTCCTAAGACTCCATGTGGGAAAGTGGCAGAGAGGTGATTAAAGAAAGAGAATTGAAGGGGAGTGGTGCATAGTGGGGACAGGGTTGCGGTCCCATAAGAAGAAAAAGTTCAGGAGATTGCTTGTGTGTGTGCTCTTAATGGTGCGGGATGGTCCTCTTACAAATGGTTAGCATGGTATATTTTATGTTATTCATTCTTCAACAAATTATTTAGAAAAGAAAGGGAATGGACAAGCTGTATTTGAAAATCCAGTTCTGACCCTACCTCCGGTAGGCAGGGAGTGTTGGGTGGGGGAGGAGATGCCAGTGGGTCCTCACGAGGGAAAGAAGGTAAGGGCTGAAGTCTTGCTTCTCTCCTTACCCAAGGGTATTGATGCCTTTCTTGTGGAAAGTAAAGACTTCCACCATGGTCGTGAGTTGAGCCCAGTTTAAAATTACAAGTTTGACAATTTTTTTCATCACTGACTTGCCCTCCCCACCCCATGTAATGTAGTGGTGATTTTATTCAGGGGTTCAGTAGATCGTGGACACTCAGGTAACAGGTTTTGGTACCAAGATTAGATAATGTTGGGAGTTTCATGTAACGCTAAAAAGATGACATGCTTATACGTTATTGTTCCGGCCTCAATAGATGTGTAGCTGTGAGATCTGGATTTTCAGATTGAGTTTTGTGCTACTGCACAGGTTATTCCTGTTCCCCAAGCTCATTCCCCCTGTGGGTCTACTGCCTCCCTCTCCCCCATGCAGCCCCATCAGTCTCTGACAAAGGGTAACCATCCCAAGACGGGGCCTGGGAAATCCAGGGTGTGGGTGAAAGGATGGAAAAATCCACTGAGGACACAAAGGTCATCCTTGCATAGTTGTAATCTTCTAATGAAAATACTTGTCATGGGGTGGCCATTTTTTTCTGAAAAAAAAAATCTATGTTCTTTGTAATTTAGATCAAACAACATACTAAAGTATGAAGAAGAAAGTAAAAATATATGATCTTATCACTCAGAGAAAACCATCAGCACATAACCTTTCAGAAGTGTTTTTAACACACACAGGTGCACACACAGACACCTTATTTAGTTAACAAAAATAGGATCTCTTTTCACTTACAGTATGTGATATATCTTGGGCATCTCTCCAACTCAATAAAAACAGATCTTTGTCTTTTTTTGTTTTGTTTTTGCAGTTACGGGGATTGAACCCAGGGGTACTCTACCACTAAGCTGCAGCCCTGGCCTTATTTTATTTTTAATTTTGAGACAAGATCCTGAACTTGTGATCCCTCTGCCTCAGACTGCAGAGTGCTTAGGATTACAGATGTGTGCCACCATGCTCCACTCTGTTCTCACTTTCAACATACACACTATTTCATTCCACCCTGCACTATAAGTTTGGAGTCAGATCCCCCTTGCTGGGCCATCCAGGCCTTTCCAAGAATTCACTGTTGTGAGCACAGTTGTGTCTACCCATTTCCTGTGAGTGCTCAGCCTGTCTATCCCCTCCTTTGCCTTCTACTCCTCCGGACATGACCTCCCTTCCCATGTCATCTGCCTCTCTCTTCCAGTGGCCACCAGCTCCCGGGAGCACAGCCTGCATTCCAACTGGATCCTGCGGGCACCTCGCAGACACTCTGAGAACATTGCAGTGCATGCTGCGCACACCTCAGACAGCCAGTTTTGGAGGAGCACAGAGCGCAGGACCATCTGCTCACAGAGGAGGCTTGAGAGGCACCCCATTTACTTGCCCAAGGCTGTGGAAGGGGCATTCAACACCCTGAAATTTAAGCCCAAAGCCCACAAAAAAGAGTAAGTGCTTGGGCCAATAACATAACCAAGATATTCTCTTAGCCTGCAGACTCCTGGGGTGGTCCCTCAGGTGCATTGAGTCCCCATGCTACATACCAAGATTATTCTATGTATTTTGGGGTGGGGGAGAGGTCATGGTTCACTTTTTTTTTTTTGATAGTCTACACCCTAGCCTGATTCACTGTTGCTACCTTGGGTCTTGCTTCAGCCCTGTAGCTATCTCCCTTCTCCCTGGTCCACTTAGCCCACATGCTTTGGACCATCTGCTGTCATCAATAGACACTGACACACTGTGTGCCGTAGATTTTTAATGAGAATTTTGAGTTGAATAGAGCAAGAAGGAAGCAACATCAAACTAATGAGATGCTGCTGTTGGGCCAACTGCCACCACCTCCTGTGGCCTCTCCTTCCAGATCCTCCTTTCCCAGGACTATTTTCTGTCACTGAATCCTACAGGCCTGTGGTTTATGTGTGCAGGGCAGGAAGTTGGCCTATGGAGACTGTCCCAGGCTTTTTCTTTGAATCTATGAAAGGCACTCAGCTATGATGGAATCAGGGATTCCTACTAGTGTTTTCCTCTTACAATAGTACATCAAGTACTGGACATAGTAAAACTCTGATTCAGCTCTTGTCACCTATCCTCCTCCCCCAAGTCAGGCTGAAGCCCACCTGAGGTTCATCCACAGCCCCCCATGGCTTGGTCCTCGCACAGCCCAGGACTGCTGGGCTGCACAGGCATGGTAGGGATGTGGGCATCCCTCCCTCTACGCTGCTGGCCAACCTGAACTTAGACTCTCTGCTTCATTCCTTCCTTCCAGCCTGGGGAGTTCCAGGCAGATCCTCTTCAACTTCTCAGGAGAAGACATGGAGTGGGATGCAGAGCTCTTTGCACTGGAGTCCCTGGCATCTCCGGAAGAAGACTACTATGAGACGGAGAACCCCAAAGGGCAGTGGCTGCTTCAAGAGAGACTCTGGGAGAGGACAGTACCCTGACTCCACTCCTTAACTTGTCTCAGGCTCCTCCCTGAGAAGGTGTCTGGTGTCAGTGCAGCATGTGGCATTTGGTAGAGTTAAAAATGGAAATTGTAACACAGTCAAACTCCTTTGCACACTTCCTGCTGGTGCCCAGCTAGTGCCAAACAGACTCGTGGCTTCCCAAAAGACATACCTCAGGACACCTGGAGCCTGGGCATTCCTGCATGGTGGGCGGGTAAGCAGGGAGGCAGAGGCCCTGTGTGTGCCCGTGTTAGGCTCAGTGGGAGAAAGGAACCAAGCCAATGAGCTTTGGGCCAAAGTTTTCAAGGAGGTAGCACCTGTTTCCTGGGGCTCAGAGGTTCTATGGTGGCTTCATTTTATGCAGAATGCAGTAGAGGAAGCAGCTCCTTTCGTTCCAGCTGTCCTCAAAGTTTTCCAGAAACTTCTGCAGAATTAGGCTGAAGACTAGGTCAAAGCCCTGGCAGGTGGGGAAGGGTGTGTTGGGACACTGCCTTAGAACCCCACTGTTTCCTCCACCCTCAAAGCTCTGCTCCATTTCCCAAAGGCAACTCACAGAGAAGGAAGAGATGGATTCTCTCTTCTCTTCTCTTCTCTTCTCTTCTCTTCTCTTCTCTTCTCTTCTCTTCTCTCCTCTCCTCTCCTCTCCTCTCCTCTCCTCTCCTCTCCTCTCCTCTCCTCTCCTCTCCTCACTCTCACTGAGCAAATCTAAGCATCCATGCAACCAGTTTGTGACAGGCTATGTATATGTTTCTTGTTCCTAATTAAGAGGGTGATCAGAACCATAGATTTTTTGGGTCCAGAAAGGATATCCACATTTGAGGAACTGCCTGAATCAGAATTCTATTTTAAATATATTCCTTGTATTTTCTAGCATACTTTCTGAATATTTACATATAGTTTGGCTCACTCAGGCTTGAGAACCACTAGTTTGGAGAACACACTGCACTTTGCCTTATTTCTTCCTTATTTCCAATTCTCCTTATTTCTTCCTCTTTTTTTTTTTTTTTGAGACAGAGTCTCATTATGTAGTTCAGGTGGGCCTTGAACTCACTATGTAGCACAGGCTGGCCTCAAACTCACCACAATCCTCCTGCCTCAGTCTCCCTGTGTGCTGGGATTACAGACGAGGATCATCATGCTTGGCTTTCATTCTACTTATTTTTTTTTCTGGAATTTTCTTGTTCACCAATCACCTGAGGGGCATGCATGGGGGTAGGTGGCAGAGGGTTATATATAAGGAGAAGTCAATCATTCAAATCAAGCCAAGGACACTCCAGGCCAAGGACTCTGTGGGAACTGAATAAAACCTTTTCTTCTGCCAGACCTGTGTGATGATATTCTTATTGTTTAGTTTTAGTTTTAGTTTTTTAGAAAAAAACCCTTTCATTTATGGGAGTCTGATTATTTAACTCTAAGTGTTTTTTAACTTCTAAGGGGCAGGGGGAAACACACCAAAACAGAACTAGTAATTCTGCAGCATTCTTAGAAATTTTATATCAATATATTTCCAGAATGAAAAGATAGTGGAAATATTTTAATACTTCTCTTTATTATTTTTGGAGTGCTAATGCCAATGATCGAGAGATTGCGTTCATTTTATTTCTGGTACTTACCCAACTATAGCCAGAAGCTTGACTGAAAAATAAATGTTTAGAAAAATTGTTTTATAAACTGTGTTAAAGCACTGCTTTTAAACCCATGGACCCCACCTCCCAACAAATGTGGCCTTTTTCATGGTCTCAGTTTGAAAGTTCCCTGCAGGGAATAAACTTGCCTCTTATCAAACTAGTTTATCATAGATCCACCCTGACATTGTGGAGAAGGCACAGTATGCATTTTACTTTTACAGATAAGAAAAAAATAACCAGGACAGAGAGGATGTTTGGGGTCCTTTTTTGTTAAAAAAAAAAGCATTTATTGCTTATGGGATATAAAACTGTGCTTTTCTGCCTTGCTTCATATTTTGTATGCTGTTGTCTCTGATAAGACTGTACACAACCTGCTTAAAAAATTCCATGGTTCAGAAACAATGATGGGTTGCCTTTTGGGATGATTTTTGTGTCTTTGAAGTTGGTAATAAACTCCAGCACCTGGGTTTTGCCTGAGGAATCTGGACTAGGATCTGCTGCGTTTGAGATAAATCAAATCTGAAACAATAAAAGTTAATTTGGAAAACCAAGCTGATTTGACTGATTCCTGTCCCCCTTGAGTTAACTCACTATTCAGTGGAATCAGCTGGTTACTACATTAGCAGCTCTGGCTTTCCCAAGTCTGTCTCCTTTTGTATACATGAAAATCCACCTAGCTTTAGACAGAATAGCAATAAAAGAGGGTGGGATCTTGTGTCACCTGGCTTGTTCTTTAGCCACTGGTGTCTTGCTCCCACCACAAAGTCCTCTTTTTCACAGAGGAAAGTGCATGAGAGCCCTTAGTCTGATTTGAATTGTGTGTATCCATCCCTTTGCTTGGTTGCCATGCAACTGGGAACAGGGCTGCCAGGACAGAGCTTTCTATTGCCTACTCAGACACAGAGCCCAGAGTGATTCTCACAAGAGGCTGTATCCCCCCTTCTTTGCTGGCTGCCTTTTCATAGTGGGCTAGTTTCCTATTGTTACTGTAATAAATTGCCACAAATTTAAAACCTAAAAACTCACAAGTTTATTGTCTTATAGTCTGGAAGTCAGAAGAATCAAAATTAGCCATACTGTTATTATAGGCAGCTAAGTTAGGTAGAAATTGTTATACAGTCAGAGAGACTGGGCTCTCAAAGAAGTCAGTAAAAATACAAATATCAGAATTGTAGCTAAAGCCTCATTTGAAGAAGGCAGGGCCTCAAGATAAAGTCACAATGGCCAGACTTACTTACTTCCCTAAGGGATAAGCAGAATTTAAGACTACAGTATACTGTAATTTTCCATTAAGTCTAGAAATGCATCAGACACCCGGGTAGGTCACCAGAACACCTGAACTCATTCCTTCCCAAAATGTTCCTGTTTTAGAAGTCGTAGATAAGCCAAGGTTAATGATACCAGCCACATACTCTTGCTACATGCCCTGCTTCCCTATTGGATCTATACTAGCTAAGCAGATATACTTGTAATCTTTTTGGTTGATTATACTTTGACCCACATCGTACCCACATTTATGACTTTGTTGTATAAATTACCCCTGACAAAAGACCTCAGTGGCCACCCGCTTCTGGGTCTCTCCTGCCTCTCAGGATCTATCTCTGAGTAAACCTTTCCTACTCTTAACCTCCCTTGTTCTTTGGAACTCATTTTTTGACTTCAGTGGACATGAACTTGGCAGTCTGACATCTAGCAGGTTGGGGGTTGTATTTCTCCTATATCACTAGGATAAGTCAAGATGCTGGCAGGGCTATAGGGAGATGCATCCATCTCCTGGCCTTTTGCAGCTTTAGGAGCAGCCTACATTCCTTGCCTGGTGACCTTTCCTTGTGTCCTCCAATCTCTAGCTTCTGTACTCAGATCTTCAAGTGTGCACTCTCATCTCCTTCCTGTCTCTTGTAGGGACCTTTGTGATTACATCAGTACCACCTGGATAATCCAGGACATCCTTCCTATATCGAGATCCTTAATTCAATAAAATCTGCAAAATCCCTTTTACTGTATAAAGGAACATTCACATGTTCTGGGAATTATGATGGAAACATCTTGGGAAGCCATTATCCATCCAACTGTACACAGCATCACAAGATATTTAGTTTTATTATTATGAACCCAGCCAATTCCTAAGCTTGATTATAACAGCCCAGTATGTGTGGTTAACTCAGACCTACCTGTCATTCCAGATCCCATTGGTTCTAGATTCTACCCTATAATTTTTTTAAAGTGAAATTCTGTCTTGTGAGACAGGTTTCAATTTCAGAAAGACTGTTTAATTACACAAAATTCCCAAGTGGAAGAAATGTGGCCCTTGATTCCTGCAAGGATGAGGAATGGGCAACAGTTCTGGATAAAGACTGCAGCTGGCTAACTGTAATGTTTTCCTTCAATCAATCCTTCAGATCTTCATTAAACAACTGCTGTATGCCAAGCAAAATGTTATATTAGATATGCTTTCTGCCCTTCAGCAGCTGCTGATCCAAAGGGGAGAAATGGGATGAAGCCAGATCCTACAGTGCTGAACACCTGATGCTTCATTGAACATCTCTGTCTGCCTGCAAGACGAGTTCAGTGAAAGGAGGAAGCCAAGGAGCTTGGCTAGAAAAGAATGTCATGGCTGCAAGGGACCCTAGGAAGATGGAGTTAGACTTCAGAAGGTGAGTGGAGGCTCACATTTCACAAGGGGAGTGACATGTAAAAGGACAGTGGCCAGAACAGTCACAGGAAGGAAGGGCATAGGAAGGCGATGCCTTTGACTGAAGGGCAAGGCTTCCTTTGAGCACCATGGAAGATCAAACTGGATGGTGGAGGAAGCCAAAAGAGGAGTGTTGAGTGGATTGGGATGGGGGCAAAAAGCCTAGACCTGCTTTTGAGGGGAAGAGTTCAAAGGTGAAGCAGAGGCCTTGAAAGATGCAGTAGAGTTGGGGATGGGGGACCCCAAGGGGCCCCTGAAACATGATATTAAACCAAACCCAAGTTGCCCACTTCCTAAGGAAGGTGACTCTCATGCTCTGGACCTGCTCCTGCCTGCCTCCTTGTCTGCTTGAATTTCTCCATCCTCTCCAATCTCTCTCCTTCTCAGAGACTGGTGTTTACTCTTAGATCTCACCTTATTTGGCCAGATCTGACTCTTGGGGTAGATTTTGCCATGGTCCCTTTGTGGTTTAGCTGCATCCTCAGAGGCTCTCTGCTTCCAGGCAAAAGCTGCTGGACATCTTTGTAGAACTCCCAGGTTACACAAGGTGCCAGTACCTTTGGTATGTGCTTTTGGGAGAAATGTACATGTGTGTTCATCCATTTATTTGTCATCTGACAAAGAGTTCTGAGCATGTGCCCTATCCCAGTCCTGTGTCTGAGCTTGTAGTAGAGACAGAACTTTCAGTCCACTGGGAGAGACAGACATTAGTCAAAGGGAAGTGTTAATACATGCAAATTGGAATTTGTAATAAGTTCTGTGCAGAGGCCCCTGATGGCACTTGTCATAGGAGAGTCTGAGCTCACCAGGGTGGCTTAGGGGGGACTTTCTAGAACCCTTATGGCTTCATTTGGTCAAATGTATCACTATCAGCTCTCAGAGAGGCCTTTCCTGACCACCTCACCTCACCCTCTCCATGCTGGAGTCCTTTCTATTGTGTTCACTCCGACCTAACACATGTATGTGTGCACACATGTGTGCATGCACACAGTGCCCATCAGATTATGAGTTCCATGAGAATGAAAATTTAGCTTGTTTCAACTTTGTTCCCAGTGCCCAGAACCACACCAGTGACTTCTTAATGGATTGATGGACAGAGTGCATGAATGAAGTGAGAATAAGCTGAGATCTGTAGAAAGGCATGAGGCATACAGATGTAAAAGGGTCAAGGCTGCAGGGAGGGATTTAGGATGAGGATATATTGTGGAAAAAGAGCTGTGCTAGGGGCCTGAGGCACATTTGCATGGGTTCAAAGCAATCATTACTTCATTCCTAAGGTACTGTGTATTTACTACCACTCCCATGCCCAGGTGCCAAGCACGGTCCCAGGCCCTGAAGGCAGAGCAATGAGACACAATTCCTGCTGCTAGAGCATTTAAATGTGGGGAGAGGCATATAGACAACAAGCAGTCAGTATCAGGGACACTATGAAAATGCAGACAGAAAAGTTCTGACAAGTTCTAGATGGTTCTGAGCAACAAAATCATCCAATCTGATTTCGTTTTTAAAAGATGACGCTGGCCATTGGGTGGGGTTTGACTGTGAGGGCAGAAGGGAAGGTGGGAGATCAGCTGGCAGCTCTGCAGAGGTTTGAACAAGAGACAATGGTGGCTGAGACCAAGGAGCGAGGAATGGATATGATGAAGGACGATTGGATTTAGGGTCAGCTCTGAATGAACGTATAGGCATTTGAGCCAGCTGTGAATGTGGTATGGGGATATGGGCTTTTGCCTGAGGAAGGAGTGATGGGGATTCCATTTATGAAGCTGGGTAAGGGAGAGGCTAATTAAATTAGCAGGGAGGGGGGTAGGCAAAGTCAAGAGTTCTATTTTGAATGTTAACTTAGAGCTTTCTCAAATAGAGATTTCCAATGGGAAATGAGATCTTTTTGTGAGGGCTCAGGGGAGTGGTTGTGTCTGGAGGTGTAGCAGTGGAAACTATCAGTGTAGTGCTGGACCGAAGCCATGAGGAGATGAGGTCATGACAGTACTGAGACCTAAGGGAGAGAGTGGTGGATGACTGCAGTCTGGAGTAGCCAACACTTAGAGGCTAAGGAACATTTACAGTAGGAGCAAGAGAGGCATGAGGAAAGGTCGAGAAAAGTGCTTTAGTGCTGGAAGGATGGAGCACAGATGGGGGAAGGGAGGTGGTTTAGGAATCACCAGCATGTGGGCATGTTCTAATGCCAGGTGAGGAAAGCAGTCTTGATTTTGATTCAAAATGAGATTGTGCACAATCTGGAGATCTTGGTGACTCTACTTATGAGACCCAGCTCCAGATGCCTGGGCTATTTCTAACACTCCCCCTTCTCAGGGGCAACTGAGTGCAGACAGGAACCCACAGGCCACTGGAGTCTTCACCTGGCTTAGATGTCCCTTTCCTGGGTGGTCTCTGGACTGCATGGGGTTGAGTTGAGAGTGGATTTCAGGTCACAAGTGTGCCCTCATCCAGTAAGCAAGCTACCCCACTTTCCTCATTCTCCCAGTGTCTCCTCCAAGATGCAGAGCCGGCAGCTTCAGCAGCTGAGTGAGGCCCTCTAGTACTTATTTTCCTCAAATGTGAATCAGGCATGATCAAAATACTTCTTAACTTATGGTGAGGATTAAATGAATTTACACCTGTTAAAGTGTCTGTTCTGCACTGATTGTTTAATTATGGTTTTAATGAAAGAATGTTGATTTACTGTCCACTTAGGACATTTAAAAATTTTACCACACACTCTGAAAACACCAATTCCTATGCCCACTGGCCAGATGGCCTCAGACATTCTGCTCAACTTCTACAGCCCTGGCCCTTATTTGTAACATGATCATATAATGACCATGAGTATCTTCATGGGGCAGACACAGCCCTGGCTCCACATAGAATAATGACAGAAAAGCACTCAGTGCTGCGGCAGGTGTACAGTGACCGCAGTCAATACTGCAGCTACTATTATTATCAGGGCTGTCAAAAAGCATCCATAGACAAGTTGCAATCAGTACCTCCTTACATGTGGTACCGAGATCATTTGATTTATTTTTGGCTTCGCCTTTCTGGAATGGAAGAATAAATGCGGTCCTAAATAAGCCCTTACCCCGACTGCCAGAGTGTTTGGCTTCTCACCTCGTCTCGCCTGATTTCTGAATGTAATGTATAAAGGCAAACGCATATTCACATTGCAGCCACAGGACCGCCACGGCTGTAGAAGATCACAGCTCCATCTTTCGCGGAGGGGAGCTGCCACTCGGAGACTTCTTCATGATTAATCCATACTGAGTCGCGCTCCTTCCCTGGTCAGGACTTGCAGGCTTTGGAAGAAGTCAACTCCTCACAGCAGTCTGTTGGTAAGCGGCACTTTGACCACACGGTGGCGCTCCGGCCCCACAATCCCGCGGTTCCTCTGCATGTCACTGAAAAGTTTAAATTTAAACTGAAACAGCCTTGCCCTCTTGTTCTTGCCAGATATTCTTGTCAACTGCCACCCAAAGCAAATGGGGAGCTGTTGGCTGTAGTGGAGGCGATCTGGGCTCTGTCGCTGATTGCCACTCTTCCTGCTCATTGCCTGGGTTAAGGTTGCAGAGTGTGACCTCGAGAGTTCAGCTCTTCAGAACACCGCCGTGGAGACCATGTATAAACCAAACGTCATCTGCCGGTTGGTAGATGAAAGAAGATGAGACTACACAAGACGGTGAGATGACTCTCCTGGAAAAAACATTTTTTTTTTTTAAAGATACCTCTTGACTGTAATACAGGCCTGAGCTCCTTTGGGGAAAAGGGCATTAATACCAGCCCTGTTTATTCTTTTCTTGGAAACATTGTAGGACACGAGCCTGAATTTGGAAACCAGCTCTACTCCTAGCTAAGCTGTGGAGCCTCAAGGAAGCTGCCTAATTTCTCTTTATCTCCATGTTCCCATCTTTCAAGGGAATCAACAATGAAGGACTCACTTTTGTAGGCTTGAGGTAAAGAGGAATGAATATTAAGCAGAACCAAATGAAACTGCTGATATTCATTATTCTTTGACTGTCAGAAATAGCAATTACGTGTGATTCATCCTAAAACATGGAAAGTGCTTTGTACCAGGCACATTGTGAGGCTTGGTAAAAATGAGCAATTGATTTTACATTCAGAAAAATAAATTACTGTATCCGCTGAATTTTTTTCCCCTGAAGACTCTTACTGATACGTCATGCCCTAGTTTCTGCATGCTAACTAATGTTCCAAATATGAAAATATGTCTGAAAGAAATCTGGCATTGTTTTAAGAGACAAGATCTTGCTATGTTACTGAGGCTGGTCTCAAGCTGCTGGGCTCAAGTGATCCTCCCCAGTAGCCGAGACCAGAGCCATGGTGCCTGGCCTGGAAATCTGGCTGATTATTAGCTTTACCTTTGGCCAAGTCCACCCACCTGAAGCCATTTTTAAGTGAGATGTTAGTCCCACCAAAGGACTAAGGCTCACCAAAGATCAAGGCTCACTGGGTACTACATGAGTAAAGTTGAGCTCCTTTCCCTGCACTGTTCCCCGCTCAATGGAGGTCTCCCTCTGCACAACTTCCCTCTCTGTACTTGGCTTGATATGGAAATTTACCCCTCTCTGCCTTTCAGACATATACACACCAAAGTTTATCTGTAGGATGTCCCCTACCTTCTTTCGTGAATATCAGCTAGGCATCAGCCCAAAGAATAGATAGTATAGTTATTTTGGTAGATGTTTTCAAAGCCATTGCCAAAAGGATTGAGAATTTCACACACCCGATAGGCTTGTGTGAGAGTACTTTGCTCAGAGGGGCATGTGGGACCCCAACCGTCCAGCCACAGCCTGTGACCCGAGACACCAGCTTCTACTGCTGCAGGCTTGGCAGGAAGCCAGCATGCCCAGAAATTGGAGATACATGGCACCAAATTGGAGCAACACAACCACTGTGAGAGGGAGACCCACCTGCAAGAAGGCAGCCAAGGTCCCAGAAATGCAAAACGCGCTCAAAACCCAGATAATGAGGATGTATTCTTCCCAGATTCTTCACTTTGAGCTTTCCTTCTCATTTCTTTCCTTGAACAATAGAGACTTACTCTAATGACCTCTTTATGGTGTACCTTGCTCTTCCATCCTTGTTCTATGAAAAAGAAAAAGGTTGTGTTTCTCTTTACATCACACCTAGACCACCCTGTTGGACCTTTTTAGATGTCACAGAAGACATATCAGTGAGGCTGTATTTGCATAACATATATCTAATTTGGGGGCTAATGTCTGACATCCGTGCACCAAACATGAATTAAGGTTAAGAAGGCAGACACAGCAGAGAGCATATTGTAGGAGTCAGTGTGTATGAAATTCAAGAGTAAATCTAATCCACAGTGAGAGCAATCAGAAGAGTGGTAGTTGCAGGTGATGGGGCTGGCTGAGAAGGGGCTCACATGAATTTACCGTGACAATGGAGATGTTCTATAGCTTTATCAGAGTATGAATTACATGGATATATACATTTGTCAAAGCTCATAGAAATGTTCATTTCGGATAAACAACAATAGCACCATATTTCCTTGAAAATCAGCCTAGCCTTGTCTTACCTGCTTAGCAGCTGCTCTGTAAGGCAGGTAAGGGAGATCGGGACTGGCATTTTTGATCTCCAGTTTTCAAGGCTGATTATTTTCCAGCTAGGTCCTATTTTGGGTGAAAGGGGATAGTGAAAAATGTCCCTTAAAACAATGATCATAGTATGGGCAGGAGGGCCCCTGATGTCACAGAAGAGAGAACATTTCCATATAGCGAAAATTCCTCCCTGGCTGTTTATGCAATTGAAAAACATATAAAACGTCAGCCAATTTTCCAGACAGTTTCAAAATCCAGGGACGTTTTTCTCCATGCACGCACTTGTCTATGTCTTTTCAAATGTTTACAGAGTATTTACAAAAAGTAGTCCTTTGGGTAGCAGTTGTAATTAGGGAAACTGGCAGCGAAAATTAACACATACCATAAAAGAGGGATAATTACTCCATTGCCATATACAATATTATTATCAAATGGTATTCACCCCGGGATCCAATTGGTCCGCACTTGCTAGACCTCCTTGTTATAGGGAAGACCCTCCCTTTCTTGTTACCCTGAGTATGAGCTGCCACGTTCCACGATGATGTGCCATATGGTACTTAACATCAGAATCAAAATGAGCTGTGCTTTTTGTGTGAGATGCTGAAATTTATTAGAAAATCAGAAAGCCTAATTTCCACCAAGTTCCTGGGACCTGCCATCTGCTGCATGAAAAAGAAAAAGGGATTTTTTAAAACCATTTACTTATTGTGAAATGTGAGCATGCGGGTGTAAGTATTTGAAAAAGCAAGGCAGGGGCTGGGGGCTGTAAGAGAGAGCCAGAGCAAGCCCACTTGGCAGGGCAGAAAGAAGAATTGTCAGCTGAATGGTGGTGAAGGCTGGGAAGCATAATTATGGAAATCATCTATTCCGAAGACTTTTTTCTCCCCCTGACCACATGTCCCTTCCACACAGCATACAGAGTCCAGGTTTTGCGAATAGGCAAAGTCCCCATTTCAGAAAGAAGTGAGGCTTAACCAGGTGCTGGTTTCTCTGAGTATTAGATCCCTCCGCCGAGCAGAGTTGGGAGTTAAGACAGGAGTGTAACCAACAAGGGTGCTGAAAAGCCTCAATGGATAGAGCACCAGGGAGGTGCAGAAGAAAGGCAGGCTTCATGGGCCCGGGCTCTGACAGGGGGAGGGCCAAAGGGAAACCTTTTAACAAGCTGGGATGCTGAGATCAAGATGTTGACCTGCTTTCTGGGTGCATCCGATGTCTGGATGTTGACCTCAGTGGAACCCTTGTCAGCTTCAGGAGCCCGCATCTTAATCATGAGTTACAACCATGCAGCTGCCCCCAGCTTCTGCACTGTATCCTGGTTTTATTGTTATTTATTTGTTTTTACCCTTGTTTTTACACCAAAGCTCGAGGACTGTTGGAACTGCTGCAGGCCTCATTCACTGGGTCTGGTGATTGGCCGAGATTCTTGCTTCTGACCTCAAGCAATGCACAGGAAATAGGCCTCTGGCAACAGCCTATTGGAGCTGAAACAGAACAAAGACAGGGTGGGAGCATCAGGCTTTCAGGCACCAGGGGTCTTTAAAGGGTGGACAGCTGGTTGAGGCAGGTCATTCTTGGAAAGAATGGTTTAATTAGAGGCCCCTTCCTAATAATCCCACATACAAAGTAGCCTTCCTGCAGGAGTCTACTCATATTTCTGAAGACAAATTCAGGGTTCTGTGAATGCTCTTATGACCCAAGCATTTGGGAGCAGAGCTGATGCCCTCAGCCCCTGCTCTCCTCAGGTGCTCATGATGGTGACATCACTCAGGCAGGTGACCCAAAATGATCTGTCAAACAGAAAGATGAGTGACTTTGCAAAAGCCTGCCAGGTTTCAGAAATCTTGGCTCCCATTTCAGTCAACCTCACTGTGGAGGAATGGAGCAGAAGAAAGGCCAAAGTGAGTTTCTGAATGTGCAGCTGGATTCCCTGGGAACAGGTGATAAGCCTGAGGGCCCAGCAGGACCAGGATGTGTCCTCTTTCATGCTTTTCCTCCACACAAGTAGCAAACTGGCAGCACCACCCCTCCCAGTGCTCCACAGTCTCTGCTGCACCAGGTACTGGCTCCATGCTCGAAGGATGGCACTGCTGTTGTGTTGGTACCTCAGGGAGGTGCTGCGAGTTTCAGGCTGAACCCCTGAGAGTCTAGCAACCCTCGGGGTGCCAGATAACAAGTCCCACTCGCTCCTGGGCAGGGGCAACTTATGTTTTACTCCCCAGTGACTGAGGGTTCACAGTGGGCACCTTGCTTGGAAGCTGGTGATTAGTTCCTAATTTCCCTCTGGACCACCCGCAGTGTATAAAACCAGCTTCTGGAAATGCCACAGATTCAACTGAACCACTAGATCAGGAGCTTGGGGTCTGCCACAGTCTCTTAGGCCTGAAGACAAACGGCTGGGCAACATGGTAAGCAGCTGTTAGAACCCTCGGTTCTGATGCCCTACCCAGCTCTTGTTGGTTGAGTACCTACTGTTTAAGATGCAAATTCCCTAAGAAGCCTGGCTATAATCTCTTGGGTACCATGGCCCTGTGCTTTTATACCTATTATAACTAAGAAGAAAACACCATTCTCATCCTGGTTTTCCAGAAGAAATAATGGAAGGTAAGATTTCATAAAGGGCCAGAGTCAGAGAGTAAGACTTGGAGTCAGCCCTCTTGGTCTGACTTGAGAACAATTACTCTATAACCTCACGATAGTCTTCCAACAGAGCAACACTATTATTTCCAACTTAGCTCATGAACAGACTGGGCTCTGAGAGGTTAGGCAATTTATCCAGGGACACACAGCAATAGGGCACAGAGACAAAAGTCCATTTGGCTCCAGAACCCAAGTCTTTCCCTCTAAGCTGTACCCATGTCTGGGCTCACTGAGGCTCTGTTGTGCCATGGAGCCTCATTCCCAGCCAAATAGACTGTGAGCACAGTGAGACTGGGCATGGTATGTGAAAAGTCATCTTTACAGGAAGCCCTTAACATTTTCAGAGGTTTTAATATTTCTTTTGAATACTGATGTTTCTCAGAAATGAGAAAACTAGGCCTAAAGTCTAGTTTTTTCAACCTGAAAGATTCGGGGACGGGGGGCACCAGCCCACGAGAGCCCTGGCCTGCTAGTTGACCTAGCTGGTTTAATGGTGCGAGTTCCAGAGTGTTAGTGGGGTTCAGTGCTGGCTAGTGATTCTTGCCCATTTCCACCAGACCCCAGAATGTAGAAGGAAGGAGAATGTCCTACTCAGCATCCCCTGCCATCTAGGTCTAGGACGTGAGCAACAAGTATCAAGGCCCTACTGCACCCTGGGCACATTATGTGGGATCAGCCTCAGTTGCTTCTTTTTGGTCTTGATAGAAGTGAAGTACTCTGTTTTCAGTGGGCAGGAGAAGGCATACTGATAATCAGTAGAGAGTGAGCTGGCTTCACTATGACCCAGAAGCTTGGACCCCTGGTACTTAGTTATGCCATCACTTTTGGGGATGGTGAACACCAAAGGCAACTGCTGGGCCACGTATCTCACTAGCCCTGAATTAATCAGACCAAGGCGCATAACTATGTGGTTATGGTGAGATTATAATGCAGCAGCAGCCTATGGATTACCCTCTGCCTCAGTTTTCACTGTTACACAGCAGAAGGTAGAATCAGTCACTTGGATTTCAGCCAGTGAGCATGATGCTGTCATTTGAGCTGGTGTTCTTTTACCAAGATTACTAGAAGAAATAATTACAGTTTTTGTTAATTACTAATCTTGATTGATTTGAAATACCTGGGAATATTTAAAATTTTTCTTGAGTTCAGACTCTAGGCTTCAACTGAGTACTCATTTACACAATGAGTAATTATTGAATGCCTACTACATGCCAGGCACTGTCTTGGTACCTTAACCAAAATATAGATAAATGACAATTCTTAACCCCAAGGAGCTTGTGATTTGGCAGGAAAGAGGAAGAACCTTGCCCAGTGCAGAAATACCAGATGTGCCTGGGGAAGGGTGGCAGGCATTTGGGTTGAGCCCAAGGCTGCAGAAATGGGTGTCAGAGTGAAGCACACTAAGACAGCTCCAGAGTGTGCCCAGAATGCCAGGCTGGGGTACAAGTCATGGGGCAGGTAGAGACAGAGAAAGGTGGAGTCAAGTGTGAAGATAACATGACGGTGGGAATTGGAAATACAGCCAAACAGGAAACACACAGGGAGGGAGCTGTGAGGGCTTAGCATCCCTTTCAGAAAGGAGCTGCGTGAAATGAGCGTCTCCTCTATTCTGTTGGCACCAGGGTCTCTTTCTTTGAGAAATTCCTATCTATGAAAATCAAGACGTATAAAATAAATCTTGAGCTTGATACTTGTGGGACAAACGGATTCTTCACTTTAAAAAGAAACACTCTAAAAATTCAGCTGACCCGGTGCTTTCAAACAATCCAATTGCTCACAGACCCTTAGGTTAGAAGCCCTGAGTTGAGGATGGTGGGATAGCCAGGGTAGAAGGGCTGTCCCTACTGAGCAGGCACAACTGTGGACCCTCCCTTTCTTTTTTGATGGAGGAAAGAAGAAAGCATAGATGAATAAGTGTATTAGAAGAAAGTTCATTCTGTTAATCCAGTTCAGTTATTTATTTATTTGCTGTGCTAGCTATGGAGCCCAGGGCCTCACACATACGAGGCCATCACCTTACCAGCAAACTACACCTGTGGCCCATCTTTCTTTGCTGTTGGCTTTACCTCTATTTTTCTCCATTCTCACCTCTCTACACACACATCCAGGCCTAGGTTCATTTGATAAAGAAAAAAAATTCGTTCTTTCCATTGTGGATCTAACCTGAGGTGTTAGATCTCTCCACTTTGCCATTGTCACTAAACTCTGTTCTTCCCAGACAGCTCCTGACCCAGAGAAGATTAATATGAGCTGTAAGCACCTCCTTTAACCCCCTCTGATAATAATCTGATTGGAAATTTGGAGATTTAGTACATATGTTTTCTCTATGGAAACAATACAAGTGGTGGGCTGTGAGGTTTGCCCTGCATCAGGTGGGAGTAAGCCCAGCTATGAAATGAATAAAGTCAGGGGAAACTAGGAAAAGGTTCAGTGGTGGGAAACCTATGGTATGCGAGCCACAGCAAGCTGTTTGTTATCATTGAAAGCTCTAAAAGTTTCACCATTACTGGAGTTGGTTTCCCCAAGGACGACACTGCATATTTCCTAAATAATTTTGTGTTTTGTTACACACACTTTCCCTTTTGTTTTGTGTTCTAGTATGGATTTATCAACACTTGTCTTCAGTCTCTTGTGATAGAGAAATTTGGTGAAAAGACATGGGAAAAACTGAAGTAAGTATATTAAAGGAAAGCTGAAGTATCCTTGCAGTAACTGGCAAGCCTCTAATTTTTTAAAGGGTTATAGCTTTATACTGACCTCTTGATCAAGCCAGTTAGTTAATTGACTCACTATAACATTATAATTTTATTCTTCAAGAGACTCAGATACTAGGGAGATTAATTCAAGTACCTTCACCGTACTAACTAGATACAAGAAAAACTTAATTAACTGTCTTTAAGAAAAGCATCAGTCTCCATTCCTAAAACCAAACCTAAAATAGGGTCCCAAGGTAAATAATGCCAACATGATTATTCTCACTTTTATGTCATGAATGAATTCTCCTTTTTCTTTCTAATCATGGAAGAAAAAGCAACATTATTATTTCCATTACACATAAATGAAGTTGCTGGTCAGGGAAGGGTGTATATATATATATATATATATATATATATATATGAATCACTCCTTAGGTATTCTTTAATTTAAAAATTTTTTATTTTAATGTATTACAAGTAGATATTAATAAAGAAAATATAAAGGCCCTTTTATGAAAAAATAATTTTTCATAACAAAATTATTAGAGAATAACCATAGTAAATACACTGTGTATCATGATCTTAAAGAATATATTTTCATTTGCTAGTCTCTCAGCTCATTTCCTAATAATACTGTACCTTTTTTGCATAAAATATTTTAAGTATTGACAAAGTATCTCACATTCTGTATAATTTTGAACAACTTCTTCCTATTTAATATTTATTATTCTTTGCGGTCCTTATTTACTTTCAGTTTCTCACACCAGAGAGACAATGTGATAATTACATATGTGTGTTCGATTTATTTCACTTAACAGTATGGTCTCAAGGTGTGTCTATTTACCTAGAAATGTCTCAAGTTTATCTTTCTTTATGTATGCCTAGTACTACATTTTATAAAAACTCACTTCTTTTGGGCATTTGGGTTGTTTCCAAGATTTAGCTATTATAAACTATGCCACTATAAACATGGGTATGCATATATCAATGTGGTATGATGCTTTTAATTCTTTGGGGAAGATACCCAGAAGGGGAATACCTGGGTCAAATGGGACCTCTAATCCTAGTTTTTTGAGAAATCTCCACACTGATTTCCACAGTGGTTGCACCAGTCTACACTCCCACCAACAACGGAGAAGGGTTCCTTTCTCCCCACACCCCTGCCAGCATTTGTTATTGGTTGATTTCATGATAGCAGCCATTCTTTCTGGCGTGAGATGGAATCTCAGCATTGTTTTCATTTGCATCTCTCAAATGACCAGTGATGTTGAACATTTTTTCATGTATTTATTTGCTGTTTCTATTTCTTCATCTGCGAAGTGTGTATTCATCTCAGATGCCCATTTTTGGAATCAGCCCATCTTTTGTTAATTTTTAGTTTTTCCTTCCTGGCTCTATCCAATAACCTTTTAATGCTGTCATTTACATCTCCAAATAGTCTCATCTGGCTGCTTTCTTGGAGGCTCTCAGCCTTAAAATGCTATAGATTGGGCCTGAAAGGGTCTTAGAAATCACCTTGTATATTGAAAAGAGAGGAATACAAAAATATGGAAAGATGATTGGCTTTCTCAGTTAATCAATGACATGCAAATTAAAGTAATTAGGTACTGCTTTGCCTATTACATTTCCAAAAAATTTAAATGATAATAACCAATTCTGCTTAAGTTGCAGCAAAATGGGTAATTGCTGATGGCGTTGCAAATCAATGCACCCCTTTGGAAAGTAATTTGACAACATGTACCAAAAGCCAGAAAAATGATCAAATCCTTTGAAATTGTGAGTTCATTCTTGAGAATCTATTCTCTTAGAAACATACACTTCTACACACACACAGTCCACAAAATATGTAATATAGCTTTATATTAGTAAATAATAAAAGAAAAATTAAGTCATTTGTGGTAAAAAATAAACCAGCAAACAAATGGAATGACAAAAGAAATATGCATCATTGTGCAGTGACTGCAAAGCCCATAAAATTATCTGTAAAATTTCATGATGATATTAATTTAAAATGCCCAAACAAACAAAAAACAAACATTTACATAGTTACTAGGTAAACCAGAGAAAAGAAAAAAGACTAAGAGAAAAGCCAAAATAATAACTTAATTGAATTAGGAGGATGAAATACTAGATGCCTTTTTCTAGCATCTTTTTTTACTTGCCAATTTTTTCTGTTTTTCATTGCTTTTGTAATATAAAAACAACTTAAAATTCTTAGTGCAAAATTTTCCTTTCTCTCTAACTCTCATTTTTTCAAATAAAATAGAAGCAAGAGTGCAGTGACTTTTTTTTTTTTACAACCATGAGGCTCAATCAAGGCAGAGCCAGGCTCTGTGCCATTCCGTGGCCCATGTACCTTGTCACTCACTGCAAACCACTGTCCATACACGTGGTGGCCAGACTGACTCCCTTATTTTAGGTAAAGGCAGCCCACACGTATTTCTTCAGCACCTCGGGGTAGTTCACTTAGAACTCCATAAATTTGGATGGGAAAAGAGTGCCTCTGACCTCATAGATATGATAAATACACATTTATAAATATATAAATCAGAGGAACCTTGGACTGGTGGACTGGTGGGCTTTTGAGAGGTCATTTAGACCAAAGATCTTTATTTTACAGGTGAGAAAACTGAGGCCCAGAGAGGTTAAGTGGTTTGGCTGAGACTGGGCAGCCAGGGGGCAGCAGGACCAGGATGTGATGTCACTGTTGTAAAGTGCTTGTCATCCACCGGCTATGTTGCCTGGGGAGAGAAGCATTTGATAACTGAGACTTTTACAATGGCCATTGTGTTGCAACAGGTAACCTTAGAAGGGTTAGAGGAAGGAAAACAACTGCTTTCTTACAGGAAGCCTGTGCTTTAGGCCAGGCACCTTACACAGTGACCTGATTAAAGCCAACAAGAGCACTGTAAGGGAACTCTTCTTTCCTTTCTGAGAAGGAGGTCTTTGGTGGAGGCAGCAAGGTACAACAGGACCAGGACTCACACCGAGGTCTGTGACTGTAAAGACTTTTCTTTCCATTAGGCCACTCTGCCTTCAGAGAGGAAATGAGACTAGAAAGGAAAAAGCATCTCCATTTCTGCTGAGTCTCTGGGTGCAATAAAGGGCATCTGTTTGCACTTGTGTGTACTGGATGCCTACAGTATGCTAGGTGCTGTGAAAAACCTGGGAGGATAAAGAATCAAGCCTTTTGCCTGCATGCTTTTGTAATCTGCAGAAGCTTTACATGTGTATCTGGAACACAAGATTTTGGGTGTTGAAGACCCATGTCAGATGGGACAGTGGAATTTTTTGTTCTGATAGAAACTGGACAGGGGCATTGTCAGCTAAATCCTTGTGCCCCTTTGCCTGCCATAGGATTAGCTGCCCCTGTAGAGGCATGATCAGTCTTAGCAGGAAGAGGAAGGAGACATGGCAAGTTCAGACAGGCTATAGGGTGGATGTTCCAGGATGTGGTAGGAAGCCACCTTGTATTCTCACAGGTCACTGGACATGATTGCAAACCCCTAGGAAACTGGTTGGATTCAATAGAGACTCTGGGCTGATGGGCCAAAGCCCAGAAGCAATGCTTACAGTCTGTATAACCCTGGGCATAATACTTTACTCTATGGTCCAGCTGTTTCATCATTAAACAGTGATAAAGGTAGTAGCCACACCCACAGAGGGTGTATAAGTGTTAAATGAGATAATACAAACCAGACAAAGGAAAAAAATGCCTGACCCAAGATGAGCAGTTAACAGATGTCAGCTACTGTCATTGAAATTGGCGCTTGCTACTAGCTCATTTTCAAGATACAAGTCCTCAGATGTGTTGCAAAAAGTATAGAGGGACAATAGGCTGCTCATCTCACTGGAACAGATTCAAGTCTGGATCTGCTGCTAAGAACAGCAGACCCAGGGTTCTTGAGCAGGTTGCTTCAACTCTTTGAAGCTCTGGTTCCTCATGAATAGAAGGGAAATGATGCACCTGTCTTCTAGGGCTAAGGACAGGAATAGCAGAACAATCTGCCCCAAAGCACCTTGTAGGAATTCAGTAAGCATTGCTACACCCCTTATCCAATCTAAAGGCACAATGTTACACAGCAGGCTATATTTGACATTAATAGAAACCTCTGCTGTGGGTCACTGTGCCTTCTGTCCTGAAAAAACATCCTGGAAAAGCCAGACCTGGCTACCTAAGGCTAATATGACTTGATGGATTGCTGTGTCTCTGTTCCTCTTTTCGGAGTGAACCCCTGACACCCTGTGTGGGCCACTGGCTAGCCTTTCCTTGAGGGACCCTTATAATTGCCAGGGATCAGTCTGTGAGAGTGAAGGATTGATTTTGTTAATTAATTTTCTTGACTCAAAAAATTTGTACCATCTGATTTTCTGGTTATGACCTTTAGCCTCAGCTCAGCTGTTGCTCAGAGTCAGTCCTGCATAGGATAATGGCAAAGGCCCTGGAAATAGCTGGAAATAACAAGAAATAGCTAGAACATGTTGGAGCCAAGGTAAAACAACAACATGCTCAGCTCTGTCTAGGACAAGCAGCTGTGAGGTACTGTTCAAGGAAGGCAAGGACTCTGCCCTCCCCTGTATTATGGAGTGTGTGTAGAGTGACCAGCTACTGGAACCTTCTATTGTTTGAGATGCTCAGCACATCATTCCAAATCAGGCTTCCATGTGTAAGTAAATGGAAGAGATTTTTTTCCCTTTAAATTCCTTGGGGTGACCTCACTGAATAGAGGGAATGTTAGCTCTTCTCACCTTAGCATTCCCAAGCAGACAGGGTGCACTGGCATCCAAAGGAACTCCACGGTGATGAAGGACATTTGAGCTAGGGGCGTAGGCTTGCAGGGAAGTAGGTTTGCAGGGGAATCAGAGAAACGATACTGGGAGCCTCTAGAGAGCTCAGCAAGGCCATTTCCTGAGTCTCTGTTGCTAGGTTTTATCTCTAATTTTCAAGTATCTGCTTAACGGAATCTGAGAGGATA